ACCTTTTAGAGTAAGCTCTAAATAATGTGAGGATTGATGAACTGCTATGAGGTTGAATGCTTCATGTTGTTGTATTAATTGAATTAGTTCTGTTTTTTGATCAGATATTAAATCTACTTCGGTAGAGTTGAGATATTGATTAATACAGGTATTAATTATATATTGGAGTAGTGTTGAACTGGAACAGTTGAACCAGTGTAGAGGAGAGTCTAGTGCTCTACAGTGGAAGCAGTTTTTTGTAATATTTTATTTATTTATTTATTTAATTTAACTATATAATTATAAATTTAAATAGACAATAATAGCAAACTTAGAACTTGAAGCAAAAGTATTATTTTTAAGAACAAGGAATAATACTTCTATATTGTATACTGAATTAGCATCTGCTGTATATAGTATCTCTAAAGTTGACAAGCAGATACTAGCATTAATTAAGAAGGTTGGTAGTTGCTTTGATGATTATCATTATTGTCTTCTTGCAAAACTTTGAAAGAGAGCTAATAAATGTTTGAATCAATTTGAGTAAGTTTTAAAAATAAAAAATTAATGAACATTGCTATTTATCACTAGTAGCGATATTATTGGGGATGCTATATTTCAAAAACTTACTAGCTAACTCATATCAGGAGTATTAAGTAAAAATAGTCAGAACTTTAAAACTTAACCCTAACTAAGATTTGGATTTTCATATTTAACCTTAATCTTGGTTTAAAATTGCATTCTAGCTTTAAATTTTGATAAAAACAATATATAAGAAGTGGTAGTATTACCACTAGTGATAAATACTAAAATTAAAAATTAAAAACTAAGCAATTATTAATATTAACTATCAAATTATAGTAATAGTGCTTCTACCGATACCCAACTTTTGAACTTTATTTCTAAGGATATATGATATAAGATACTTTTTCAATTTTTTGAAACAACAAAACAGCCTGTTCTTCATCGTAATAAAAGAATATAGAATGTCTTAGATAATTTGTTCAAGAAGTTATTAAAAAAATTATTATTTTAAAATTAGAGAAAACTAATATAAAAGTAGCACTTTATAGTTGTAATGCAATTACTGTCAACTTGCCAATTCCAACTGTACTTGATATTGTTGCTTGTTTGCCAGTTCAAAATTTATTAAAATATAAAACTGGTTAGCAAAGAAGTAAATAGAAATAAGAATAGCAGTAATAGTTATATTCTCTATTATATAAATTAATTATCAAATATTTATTAATAGCAATAGTTACTATTATTACATTATTGCAGGTAAAAAATTTAAATAAGTTTTAATTAGATATATTTTTAATATATATATATTAGAGATATATTAGATTATTTAATTGAATTTAAAAGTTTTTTTTGTTATAACTTAAGAATAGTATTAGGGTTTCAAACCGGTTTGAAAACTGCTATCTGTGATCTGTCAGGTTAAGCACCTTCTCTAACTAGATATCTGAAACAAAACAGATCACCTGGATATAATCAGGTTACTCAGTATCTGAATAAAAAACCTTTGTTTGTAACCTATCAGGTTACTCTTATCAACCAGATACCCAAAACTAAAACCAGATATTTAATTAAAATCAGTTATTTATAAAAGAAATTAGTTCAATATATGCTTTTAATATGACAACCTATTCATTTAAATTTCGGATCACTTGATTAGTAAAAGGTTTCAGATCAACTGATTTGCTAAAAGTCTGACCCAGTTGATAAAAATTTCGGGTCGAGTGGTCAGGTACATAGTGACCCAGATGACTATTTGGATCTCTAAATAGTATTACTAAATTTCTAAATTAAGATATATAATTAATTCTGATTGTTAAATTTTAAGCATAATTTTGAATCGTAAAAATTTAGTATTGTAGTATAA